CGTATAATGACTCCAATAACATGCTCATTGAAGAAGCCAGGTATAGATACTCAAAAATCAGGGACAAAGGAATTAATGTACAGTTGCTATGGATCGCATCACACATTGGATTACTTCTTCATGATCAAGTTGATATGTTAGCCAAGAAGAGTACCCAGAAGGAGAATGTAGAATATAACTTTGATAAGTATGTTTATGGAGCAACTTGCAATGTGAACAGACTGGCTGATGTTGTAGTGGCCAGGCTTAGGCTTGGTTACAAGTACTTCTGGCAGTTTGGGAGACACACAGATGATGATCAAACTAAATGTAAATTATGTGATAACGCATATGGTCACTGTCTTGAACACTATGTGTTTAATTGTCCACTTATTGAGGAATACAGAGATAGACAGTATAATAACCTATGTGACATGTCAAGATATCTTATTAATGAAAATAAGATACCAGATATATTAAGCAAATTTCCTAAATTTGCTTACAACAGATAAGTGAATATATATATGTATATATAAATCCATATGTATTCCTGTTAACCCTTTGGGCCTAGTTCCTGGGCCTTTTATGTATCCATATGCTCTTGTTCTACCGTCCACAGGATGGATATGGGGTAGACAATAAACTAGCCACTTCGGTGGCAAAATCTAAAAAAAAATCTAGTAGGATTTCTTATGCAGTTAGCTACAATCATATGTATACCATGTACTACAGCGTATAATTAAAGATACACAGTTATTGGTGAATATACTTTTCCCTTTCCCTTGGGTCTTTTCTGTGAGGAGTGAGGACAGCCATAATTATTTCAACATTTTATAACATGAGGGGAGGTGGGGATGCATTTTAGATTTTCTTTGGTTTATGCTTGAAAAATAATCGATCTGGATGTGTGTCGTCATAGAAAATTTCGCGCACATATTTACGGGATACTAATAAATATTTTTAGTTCCACACTTGCTTGTTCTTGTTATGTGCTGATTTTTTCAGGTTAAATTGGCTGTTTAATTGGGTTTAAAAATCTGTCGAATCTGTTGAATGGAGATGAACAAGCTTCATGTAGCTTGTTCATATTCATTCAAGAATAATTTATTCTCGCAATTGAGAATAAAGTATTCTTTACGTAGTAAATTCTACACAATTTATTGAATAAAAATACTGTAAAAGTTCAAAATTACGATAGAAGCCTAAATAAAAACTCATGTGAATATAATAATTTTTAACATCAATAAGTCACAGAACGGATGGGGATTATGAAAAATTTATAAGAGGTACCTGTATGAACCTCAGCATTACCTACATCGACACCATGCCCAGCCTATCTAGGGCAGGGTAGGTGCCTGAGCCCGAGCTTGTAGCTCACAAAACTGTCATTCCCATTAGCCCCCTTGGGGCGGGGATGGCAGACCAGAGAGGCCTAGCTTCTCCTTACGAGAAGCTAGGTCTGGGGACAGTTGGTCCCAAAGATGAGGGGGTACTTGTGCCTCCTTCCATGGGAGACTTAGGTCTCAGACACTCCCTAGACAGGGAGCCAAGGCCGGGCCACCACTTGGAAAAGGCCCGGGCCGGGAGAATACCGGTGAATCTTTAATAATAATAATAATAATAATAATAATAATAATAATACCTTCATACAAGTAATCTCATTAAGAGGCAACAACCATATATTGTTTACAGTAGTTACCCCGTGTAGACATGTGAGAAAACTTAGCCACCCCTGGTCACTGCAGGTGGCTCCTTCGACCTCACAATCTTACCCATATCTATCCGAGACCAGTATGAAATGGATAGCACCCACAAGTACAGTGCTACTAATTAATTGTGGACTGTATAGATTATCTTGGTTTGACTGAATGAAGGGGGAGGGGGTTAGGTTACACACATATCCATCAAGGAAAAACACTTGTATATAATACCACCACTTACCAGATTTTCTCTGGTGGTCACTTGATGTACTTGGATCACCCACAACCTATCAAATTACAACATACCTAACTGGCCAGTATCAGTTTGCTATAACTAGAAAGGTTACTTAACTGTGGGTGATTGATGCTCCTTATTTCCTCCATCCACCATCTCATTTTGATGTCCTGCTACACCGATACTGTTCTTATCCTACAGGACGAGGTATTCGTTGGTTAGTCCCGGTTTATAAATCGTGACTCCATAAACTCCACTATCCTCGGGACAGGAACCACGAGGTTAGCAGGTGCTCACTAGGAGAACGGCGACTCATTTCCCATCACAGATTCTCTTAACTTAGTGTTATTATTACCGATTACAATTCACAAGACGATTTAACGCCTCGTAAATTTTACACACGTTAGAGGTCGACACATTAAGATCTGAGACCGATGAGTGATGATTAAATCACGGGTATTTTCCCCTGAACACTCCATGGTGTCATGCCATTATTCACTAATTATTCACTAATTTTTCACTAATTATTCACCATTATTTCACCATTATTCACTAATTTTACCACTTTATTTCAGTGGTCCCGTAAATCACGTTCCCTCACTCTTCACCAGGAACAGTTACGACACTTCCTATTATGAAGTGAGGCCTATATTAATCCTTGGACCGCCGTGGACGCCAATTTCTTGGTCCTATTTTTTCCCAGCCTCTTAACTCAATTCAAAACACTCCCGCCTCCCCATGCTCGTCTCCTCTGCGCCTCAGCGCAGGCGCAGAGGTTCCCTGTTGGTTCTCTTCTTTAAAATACACTTTAGAGCTATAGTAATGCATTAATCATGTATATCTACATTATAAAAAATATACAGTATAATTTTTGGGAAATTATTTTCCACAGAGATCGAACCAATGGCAATCGTGTTATATTCACATTAGAAGAGATAAGTTTACCTGGAGAGAGTTCCGTGGGTCAACGCCCCCACGGCCCGGTCTTTGACCAGTCCTCATGGTGGATCAGAGCCTGATCAACCAGGCTGTTACTGCTGGCCGCACGTAATCCAACGTACGAACCACAGCCCGGCTGGTCAGGTACCGACTTTAGGTGCTTGTCCAGTGCCTGCTTGAAGACAGCCAGGGGTCTATTGGTAATCCCCCTTATGTATGCTGGGAGGCAGCTGTCTGGGGCCCCTGACACTTATTGTGTTGTCTCTTAACGTGCTAGTGACACCACTGCTTTTCATTGGGGGAATGTTGCATCGTCTACCGAGTCTTTTGCTTTCGTAGGGAGTGATTTTCGTGTGCAGGTTCGGTATTAGTCCTTCTAGGATTTTCCAGGTGTATATAATCATGTATCTCTCTCGCCTGCGTTCTAGAGAGTACAGGTTCAGGAACTTCAAGCGCTCCCAGTAATTGAGGTATTTTATCTCCGTTATGCGCGCCGTGACCTTAATTTTAATTTAATATATTTCCAGGTTGATAATTTTATCATGACCTTCGTGCCCTCCCGTGAGCGGTAGTCGATGTATTAAAAAGGCACATGATGGGTCCGTAAATGAGCAGGGTAACATGTAGGCATTTAGGTAAACCGGTTAGCTGGACTTGAATCCTGGGAGTGGGAAGTACAGTGCCTGCACTTTAAGAGGATGAGTGAGGATGTTGCAGCTCGGAGATCCAACTGTCCTGCGATATCAGCATCTTTCTGGAAAGACAGTGGATAAATGACGGTGAATGTGTTCTTCTTAGGATCATCCTACACACAACAGGAACCTCCCGCCTCAACTACTACATCTGTCCTATTCCACAACCTTGTGGCACGAGTCTTGTATCCTAACGCCATCCACCCCCCGGAGAGCAGGCCTATGCGGACCCCAGGATCATACTTCTTTAACTTTGTCTTTGACCTCCGCCATCTACACCTTCCTGTGATACCACGTCCTCCAGTGCTGGCCCACCCTGGCCGTGGGAATAGTCACGTAACTGTCTCCCAGTAGCCAACTGCGCGAGTGACTTTTCTGTTTCTCAGATGAGTGTTGAGGTACCGTAGACACACCTTGGACACAGCGTCGATCAGCAAGCTGCTTTCTTTCTTGGTATGGTCGCCGATTATCCATCTTGGCCACACAAACTGCAGCCCATGCCAGCCCGTTAGACTGAGGGTAGTAGGCAGACAACAACTTGGCGGTGACACCCCACTACTTGAAAAAATCGTGGTCATTGGGTTTTCCTAAGAGCTATCCTAAGAATAATTCTGGTACATAGCCCGTGCCTTCACACGCTCTTCCCAACCTACTTTATACGGGAGGATTGAGAGACTGCTATTCCTTGCGCTGAATAACGCGCACGGATTTAGAGCTTCTCGTAAATATAAAAGGAGAACCATCTTTACACAATGATCCCAATTTGTCTTTATCCTGCCTTTATTCGCGTACGTGTTTGTAATAATGTTACTTTTTCCAATATAAAAGTGTGTGTCATTCAGTTGTACTTAAGTATAGGTATACAAAGTATTTTTTCTTTGTGGTTAAGGGAAAATTTTTACTCTACATAAATGAAAATTTTTGACATTTAAACCTCTTGTTTACCAACCTTAATATGTTTGTCTTGCAGGGTGATCAGTCCATTATATTCGTGACAATATAAGTATCAGGCTCGCCAATGAATGCAGAATACAGGTATTCTCACATGTGCAGGATTTAATTTAGATACTCTTACTTGTGCAGGTCTAATATTGGTATTATCACCTCTGTAGGTTTAATAAAGATATTCTCACCGGAGTAATTTCAGTATACATGTAGGTATTCTTATCTGTGTAAACTTAATATGGGTATGATAACTTGGGTAGGTTCATTACAAGCATTTTTCCCCCTGCATAAAATTTTATATATAGATCATTCTTAAGTTTTTTTAGACTTTAATATAGGTATAAATAAAATACTTGTATCATTCGTCTTTATTAAAAAATGGAATTACTGTAAACTTACTTCTAACGCTAAACCTCATGAGGTGTGAAGGTCTCGTGTTGTCATCTTTTCAAGTCCCACCATCTTTCTTTTTTTTCTTTTTTTTTTTTTTCAAATATTTAGTTGCTCACTTAAACAGTACTTCGGGTAATAAAAATGCATGTTCTCTAGAAGCTACTTCTTCAAATTATCAGCAGTCACTGGCAATTACGACACTTTTCCTTTGATTTTATATTCTTAGGTATTCGTATTTTGTTTACTATTCTTTCCAAGGATGTAAAGACGCCTCTGGTTGGCTCATCTAGATTATGACGTAATTTTAGGTTTTGTTTACTATCTACTCTTTCCAGGGATGTAAATGCGTCTCTGATTGGCTCATTTAGGTTGTGACGTAATTTTTGGAGACGGCTGGACTCTTGACCATGACTTTAGAAAAAATACTCGAGAAGGAAAAAATATGTTTTAGTGTAGTTATACCCCAGATCTGTTGTCTTGTTGATTTGGATGCCCAAGGTTGTTAATGGTGTTGTGGAGAGAGGTGAGGGCCGAGAGGTGATTGGTGGGCGCTTGTGTGTACATCGATGACGTCAGAGTGGTCATGTGTCCTGAGCCAATGGGAGACAGCGACGTCGGGGGCAAGCCATGCGGTTCACCAATCAGGTGACGGTCAGTTAGGGGGTTGATAGGACTCGGGTGCATGATTGGTCGTTCGCCAGAGGAGGCCACCAATGAGGGCGGGAGGGGAAGAGAAGGGAGGCAGTGGGGCGGGATGTGAGGCAAGACGTGTGAGGGGAGAGGAGAGGGGAGAAGGGGCAAGCCGTTACCATGGAGACCCACTGTGTGCTGGTTTGGGTGTCCCGCGGAGTAGTTGAAAAGCCTGTTTGAAGGGAAAAAGAAATGTTCATTCCTTAATACCAGGGACATATTATTTACAGTAACATCATTTGAGTTCCTATAATCTGGTTCCTGACTGGAAATAAGTCACTGTGTCTGACTTTCTTTGGGGGGTTATCCCAGGCAATTTACACTATGATAATTGCATTTATGTGTACCTGTACCTAAATAAACCTACTTTGTTCCAGTTTTATGATAAATATATATATTTTTTATATTAAATTGTGAGGAGGTCAGGGAAAATAATGCACCTTCTTAGTGGTTGCAACAGTCGTGACAATCAAGGCTACTATAACAATTAACATTTTTTTTAATAAAAAGGATGGACAAGTTGATTTTAATTAATTTTTAAGAAAGATTTTTCTTTAATCTATCCCTGTGAAAGAAATGAATGGAAACTGCAAAAACAAAATCTGGAATAAAATGTCAGCTGTTCCACTGGACGATTTTCTTTTTGAGATGATAATGTTAATAAGTAAATAAACAAATAAGTTTATGGGGAGATGTCACAAGTGGGGTGCCACAAGGATCTCTACTTGCCCCATTTTTTTGTCATTGTATAAACACGTCAAAAAAGAATAGAAATCTATATGAATATGTTTGTGGATAATACAACAATATTATGCAAAATAAGCCAAAAAAAATACTAAATCCCTGTAAGATTGCTCAAACTAAAGCAAATGGAGCGAAAATAGGATGGTGGAGTTCCTGTGGATAAATTTGATAGAAACTCCAAGTAATGGAAGAAAAAAATAACTCAGAATGAAGAATACAGATTATTTTTTAAATTTCTGATAGACAGAGGGACCTAGAAGTTATAATTAATGAAGAATTGGCGCCTAAGGATCATACAAACGCTAAGAAACTCGTACAACCGAAGTTTTCTGATAAATGAAGTTCTAAAAGAAAGCTGTTTACTACATTAGGCCAAAATTTAAATATATAGTGGTTGTGATGGCCGCACCTAATGAAAAAGACAGCGATTATTTTAAAAAAAGATCCAAAGAAGATCTACAAAATGGCGACCAGGGTTAAAAAAAAATACAAAGTGAAAGTCAGAATAAAAGTTAGGATGAATGTTAGGATAAATGTTAGGATGACAGGATGAAAACTAGGATGACAGGATGAAATTTAGGATGGCAGGATGAAAACTAGGATGGCAGGATGAAAACTAGGATGACAGGATGAAAGTCAGGATAAAAACTAGGATGACAGGATGACATTTAGGATGGCAGCATGAAAGCTAGGATGGTAACATGAAAGCTAGGATGGCAGCATGAAAGCTAGGATGGCAGGATGAAAACTAGGATGGCAGGATGAAAGCTAGGATGACAGGATGAAAGGATAAAAACTAGGATGACAGGATGACATTTAGGATGGCAGCATGAAAGCTAGGATGGCAGCATGAAAGCTAGGATGGCAGCATGAAAGCTAGGATGGCAGGATGAAAGCTAGGATGGCAGATGAAAACTAGGATGACAGGATGAAAGCTAGGATGAAAACTAGGCTGACAGGATGAAAGTTGGGATGACAGTCAGAATGAAAGGATGAAAATACTAAAGATATCCACGTTGGCTGATGGGAAGAAGAGAGAATACAAGAGAACCATTGATAGGCTCATAAAACTATGGAAGACTACATAATTTTTTTTAAAGCTTCGACAGTGTCAACAAGAGGTCACAGTTTTAAACTGACACACAGTAAGGCTGAAGGGATACTGGGTATTATATTTTATTTTTTAAATGGTGGTTGAAGGATGGAATGAATTAAAACATGATGCATTAAGTCCTAAAATCATTGAGAATTGAAAAGAAATGAGTGAGCATTTTAATGGAGACTGGACACGACGAGTATAGTTTTGTTACAATTAGGCAATTACAAATAGGTAATATTCTCTCTTTCTCTCTCTCTCTCTCTCTCCTCTTCTCTCTCCTCTCTCTCTCTCAATCACACACACACACACACACACACACACATACATACACGCGCGCGCGCGCAACACACACACACACACACACACACACACACACACTACACACACATACACACACACACACACACAACACACACACACACACACACACACACCTACACACACACAACAGGCCTAGTGTCTAATCGACATGTGCCTAGGACAAATGTAACTAACACATACACAAACACACACACACACACACACACACACCACACACACACACACACACACACACACACACACACACACACACACACACACACGATAAACCTCATAGAGGAAGGAGCTGTGACTCGACTCCTGCAGCAACAAATAAGTAAAATAGGTGAGTACACACCAGAGACGGTCACCCACCACCATGGGTCTAGGACCGAGGACTCCCAAGGCAGAATAGTACTGTTGGGCCATCAACTCCAGATCATTGGTGTACTTTCTCTTCCACTTGGTCCGTCGGTTCTGGAACCAGATCTTAATCTGGAAAAAAAGATGCCGAATTAATTTTTATAACATTATTTCCTATGAATTATGGTCCATAATTTGGCCTTTATTCATATTCTTTTCAAAGGGGATCCCTTGATGCCGGTGATGGGCTCTTGATTCAATTAAGCAGAGCTATCCTTCCCTTCCTAGGATTAAACCTGGTTATTTTCCATTCAGGGTACTTCCTCTAAATGTAATAATAATAATTTTTTCTCTTACAGTTTACCCTGGCATGTCAGTGGTGAGTCACTCACTGCAGCAGACCTGACTAGCGTGCTAGAATACAAACTTGAATATTCCTACAGGATACCTATTTATCTTTTAGCCCTTCTTTCCATTCCCTTCCTCCAGCTTTTCTATTTCTTTGCTGTTATCGTTTGTTTTAATCTGTTATTTTAATGAGTCTTCCCATTTTAATTTTTGGTTGAGAATGGTGCAGTCAGATTCCCTTTCCGTAATTCTTTCGAAATCTGCTCGTCCAACTCGAACATTTCTCTCTCTCTCTCTTTCCCTCTGTCATTCTTTCTCACACTGCCCCACTATCCCTCCCTCTATCCCCTCTTATACCTCCCTTCCACCTCATTCTCCCTCCTCTCCTCCAGCTTACCTGGGTCTCAGTAAGCTTGAGTTGCTTGGAGAGCTGCAAACGCTTACTGACGGAGAGATACTTGTTTCTCTCAAACTCCTGCTCCAGCGCCTTGATCTGCGAGGCTGTGAACGCCGTTCTCGGCCGCTTCTTACGTTCCTCGCAGGTTCTCGAGTCTTCTGCAGCAAGAAAATTAATGTCATTGTAAATGGAACGCCAGGACGGTAGATATGAATATTGGCTAGAACACCAGAAGGTTAGAACGTTAGGAGGGTAGACAGAACGACTGGTGGGTAGACATAACGTCAGGACGGTAGATAGAACGTCAGGAGGGTTGATAAAAAACTATGAATGATGGGTACGTTAGGAGAATAGATAGGTCAGAAAAGGAATAGTGGATGGGTTGGTGTACTGGCAGTGTGGGCCAGCTTGTGTGTGTTATGAGGTGTGTGGTGGCTGGAGCATGTGTGGTGGGCAGTGTAGGTGGGCGTGTTTGGAATGGGTGGGCGTGTATGAGGGTGCGTCACTTGAAACAACACGAAATCAGTACCCTGCCCTGGGGAAGCCGGGTATCTCAGTGTTAATAGCCTCGTTAGGTTGTAATTAATAACAGATCTGTGACGTCGTGGCGCCGCCATCCGACTAGTCAGGTCACCACCAGGTCATGCGAGACCGTCTGCGTGACCCGGGTCACCACCAGGTCACATGGGACCGTGTGCGGGACCTCGCCCTGACCTGAGTCAACCCTTGTTGACATGATCAGTGACTCTTAGTGAATATTTAAGCTGTGTGTGTGTGTGTGTGTGTGTGTGTGTGTGTGTGTGTGTGTGTGTGTGTGTGTGTGTGTGTGTGTGTGTGTGTGTGTATTTGCAGGATTTTTTCGAGTTCTAGCTCTCGGGCCCACATCTAGCAACACACTGACGCTGTGGAAATGTCTCATAACATCTCGGCGAGTTGTGTGTGTTAGATTCCGTCAATGTCTACCTCGTTCTGATTTCGCTCTTGCTAAATTCTGTGTACATGTGTATTCTTCCGCGTATCTTGCATCTCCTGACCATGTCTCCTCTCATTTTCTATTCTGCTGCTGTTGTGAGATCTAGTTTGCACAATGTACTTATTTAACAGAGCAATTAAGGTAGCAAATTACCGGCACCACCGTCACAGTGCCGTCAGATTGCCGGCACCACCGTCACAGTGCCGTCAGATTGCCGGCACCACCGTCACAGTGCCGTCAGATTACCGGCACCACCGTCACAGTGCCGTCAGATTGCCGGCACCACCGTCACAGTGCCGTCAGATTACCGGCACCACCGTCACAGTGCCGGCACCACCGTCACAGTGCCGGCACCACCGTCACAGTGCCGGCACCACCGTCACAGTGCCGGCACCACCGTCACAGTGCCGGCACCACCGCCCAAAGTGCCGGCACCACCGTCACAGTGCCGGCACCACCGTCACAGTGCCGGCACCACCGTCACAATGCCGGAAACCACCGTCACAGTGTCGGCAACCACCGTCACAGTGCCGGTACCACCGTCACAGTGCCAGCACCGTAACAGTGCCGACACCACTGTCAGTGCCAGCACCACCGTCACAGTGCCAGCACCACCGTAGCAATGCCAGCACCGTCACAGTGCCAGCACCACCGTCATAGTGCCAGCACCACCGTCACAGTGCCAGCACCACCGTCAGAGTGCCAGCACCACCGTCACAGTGCCGGTACCACCGTCACAATGCCAGCACCGTCACAGTGCCGACACCACTGTCAGTGCCAGCACCACCGTCGCAATGCCAGCACCGTCACAGTGCCAGCACCACCGTCATAGTGCCACCACCAAAGTCACAGTGCCAGCACCACCGTCACAGTGCCAGCACCACCGTCACAGTGCCGACACCACCGTCACAGTGCCAGCACCACCGTCACAGTGCCAGCACCACCGTCATAGTGCAAGCACCACCGTCACAGTGCCAGCACCACCGTCACAGTGCCAGCACCACCGTCACAGTGCCAGCACCACCGTCACAGTGCCAGCACCACCGTCACAGTGCCAGCACCACCGTCACAGTGCCAGCACCACCGTCACAGTGCCAGCACCACCGTCACAGTGCCAGCACCACCGTCACAGTGCCAGCACCGCTGAACGGATCATCTTAGTACAAACACTAGTCTCAGGTTTTCCTAACGAACACACCAGTTTTTAATATTATCTCCTGATAATGGTCTCTAAATAGATCCGAAATATATTCGTAATTTACCCACAGTTTAACTGAAGTCTCTCTCTCTCTCTCTCTCTCTCTCTCTCTCTCTCTCTCTCTCTCTCTCTCTCTGACACACAATTCAAGTTTGCAAAAAAGTCAACTATTACAGACAAAACATAAATATTATAAGATGATAGGTAAGCCAACGACGTAAAGGAATGTGAGACAATGAAAATTTTCAAGCTTGGGTAAGTCGCCTTTTTGGTTTTTATATTTGGCGCCCTGCTAGTGCTGCTGTGGGGGAGAGGAGGAGTGTCCTGGTGGGGGAGAGGACGAGTGTCTTGGCGGGGAAGAGGACGAGTGTCCTGGTGGGGGAGAGGACGAGTGTCCTGGTGGGGGAGAGGAGGAGTGTCCTGGTGGGGAGAGGAGGAGTGCCCTGGTGGGGGGAGAGGAGGAGTGCCCTGGTGGGGGAGAGGGGGAGTGTCCTGGTGGGGGAGAGGAGGAGTGTCCTGGTGGGGGAGAGGAGGAGTGTCCTGGTGGGGGAGAGGAGGAGTGTCCTGGTGGGGGAGAGGAGGAGTGTCCTGGTGGGGGAGAGGAGGAGTGTCCTGGTGGGGGAGGGAGGAGGAGTGTCCTGGTGGGGGAGAGGAGGAGTGTCCTGGTTGGGGAGAGGAGGAGTGTCCTGGTGGGGGAGAGGAGGAGTGTCCTGGTGGGGGAGAGGAGGAGTGTCCTGGTGGGGGAGAGGAGGAGTGCCCTGGTGGGGGGGAGGAGGAGTGCCCTGGTGGGGGAGAGGACGAGTGCCCTGGTGGGGGAGAGGAGGAGTTTCCTGGTGGGGAGAGGACGAGTGTCTGGTGGGGGAGAGGACGAGTGTCCTGGTGGGGGAGAGGACGAGTGTCCTGGTGGGGGGGAGGACGAGTGTCCTGGTGGGGGAGAGGACGGTGTCCCGGTGGGGGAGAGGACGAGTGTCCTGGTGGGGGAGAGGACGAGTGCCCTGGTGGGGGTGAGGACGAGTGCCCTGGTGGGGGTGAGGACGAGTGCCCTGGTTGGGGAGAGGACGAGTGCCCTGGTTGGGGAGAGGACGAGTGCCCTGGTGGGGGAGAGGACGAGTGTCCTGGTGGGTGAGAGGACGAGTGTCCTGGTGGGTGAGAGGGGCGAGTGTCCTGGTGGGTGAGAGGACGAGTGTCCTGGTGGGTGAGAGGACGAGTGTCCTGGTGGGTGAGAGGACGAGTGTCCTGGTGGGTGAGAGGACGAGTGTCCTGGTGGGGAGAGGACGGGTGTCCTGGGGGGGGAGAGGACGGGGTCCTGGTGGGGGGAGGACGGGTGTCCTGGTGGGGGAAAAGGGGCGGGTGTCCTGGTGGGGGAGGACGGGTGTCCTGGTGGGGGAGGGGGACGAGTGTCCTGGTGGGGGAGAGGACGAGTGTCCTGGTGGGGGAGAGGACGGTGTCCTGGTGGGGGAGAGGACGAGTGCCCTGGTGGGGGAGAGGGGGAGTGTCCTGGTGGGGAAGAGGAGGAGTGTCCTGGTGGGGGAGAGGAGGGGTGTCCTGGTGGGGGAGAGGAGGAGTGTCCTGGTGGGGGAGAGGAGGAGTGTCCTGGTGGGGGAGAGGAGGAGTTGTCCTGGTGGGGGAGAGGAGGAGTGTCCTGGTGGGGGAGAGGAGTGCCCTGGTGGGGGAGAGGACGAGTGTCCTGTGAGGGAGAGGACGAGTGTCCTGGTGGGGGAGGACGAGTGTCCTGGTGGGGGGAGGACGAGTGTCCTGGTGGGGGAGAGGACGAGTGTCCTGGTGGGGGAGAGGAAAGAGTGTCCTGGGGGGGGGAGAGGACGAGTGTCCTGGTGGGGGAGAGGACGAGTGTCCTGGTGGGGGTGAGGACGAGTGCCTGGTGGGGGTGAGGACGAGTGTCTGGTGGGGGAGGGACGAGTGTCCTGGTGGGGGAGAGGACGAGTGTCCGGTGGGGAGAGGACGAGTGTCCTGGTGGGGAGAAAGGACGAGTGTCCTGGTGGGGGAGAGGACGAGTGTCCTGGTGGGGGAGAGGACGAGTGCCCTGGTGGGGGAGAGGACGAGTGCCCTGGTGGGGGTGAGGACGAGTGTCCTGTTGGGGGAGAAGACGAGTGTCCTGGTGGGGGAGAGGACGAGTGTCCTGGTGGGGGAGAGGGACGAGTGTCCTGGTGGGGGAGAGGACGAGTGTCCTGGTGGGGAGAGGACGAGTGTCCTGGTGGGGGAGAGGACGAGTGTCCTGGTGGGTGAGAGGACGAGTGTCCTGGTGGGTGAGAGGACGAGTGTCCTGGTGGGGAGAGGACGAGTGTCCTGGTCGGGGAGAGGACGAGTGTCCTGGTCGGGGAGAGGACGAGTGTCCTGGTGGGGGAGAGGACGAGTGTCCTGGTCGGGGAGGAGGACGAGTGTCCTGGTGGGGGAGAGGACGAGTGTCCTGGTGGGGGAGAGGACGAGTGTCCTGGTGGGGGAGGGACGAGTGTCCTGGTGGGGGAGAGGACGAGTGTCCTGGTGGGGGAGAGGACGAGTGTCCTGGTGGGGGAGAGGACGAGTGTCCTGGTGGGGGAGAGGACGAGTGTCCTGGTGGGGGAGAGGACGAGTGTCCTGGTGGGGGAGAGGACGAGTGTCCTGGTGGGGGAGAGGACGAGTGTCCTGGTGGGGGAGAGGACGAGTGTCCTCGTGAGGGAGAGGACGAGTGTCCTCGTGAGGAGGACAAGGCGCACATGCTTACCCCAATATTTTTTTTTTTCAATTTACTTAAACAATTCACCGTAAGTGAAAACAGGAGAAAGAGCAAATGAAAGAAGATGGGAGAGAGAGAAGCCGAAGATAAAGAAGGGAAGAACGAATAGCAAAAATATCAAGAATGTATCAAGGCCGGAAATTCTTGGATATTCTAGTCTAGAGAAGACGAGCTAAGGGAAGCGTCCCCTCAGAGAGGGGAGGAGAGGGGAAAATACCAGGGAACCTGGAGCTGGGAGAGAGGATAAACAGGGAAG